TCACTGAACCGCACTCGCCCAAGTGACTTCGTCAGCACATCCGCGAGCTGCTCCTCCATGCTCACGTGTTCCACGAAGATTCTCCCGTTCTCCACACATTCACAGATGAAATGATATTTAGTGTCGATGTGCTTACTTCTGTCATGAAGAACAGGATTCTTGCTTAGTGCACTGGCGGACTGATTGTCCATCTTCAGGATCGACGGCTGGACCTTGACGCCAGTGATGTCGCCCAGCAGCCGAACGAGCCACACAGCCTGGCACGCTCCTGCCGCGCCCGCCATGTACTCTGCTTCACACGTTGAGAGAGCCACCGTCTTTTGCTTCTGTGACTGCCAGGACACTGGCATCTCACCCAGGAAGAAGATGACTCCACCGGTGCTCCTCCTCTCGTCAATGTCTCCCCCCAAGTCACTGTCACTATACCCCTCCAGCTCGTACCCAGTTAGCATGTTGCCGATGTTGCCGAGCTTGGGGTAGAACAGCCCGTAGTTGACTGTGCCGGCGATGTAGCGCAGAATGTGCTTGACGGCGGCGAGGTGCTCCTGTCGAGGCGTTTCCATGAAACGGCTCACATAGCCCACCGCGAACGCGAGATCTGGCCTGGTGTGCACCAGGTATCGCAGACTCCCGACAAGACTGCGGTACATCGTGGCGTCGACCTCCGGCGTGGTGCTCTTGGCAGAGAGCTTGAGCCGGACCTCCATTGGCGTGTGGCAGGGATTGCACGCCGTCATCCCTGCCTTCTCCAGCAGCTTCCTGGCATATGCGGCTTGTCCCAGCCTGATGCCGTCGCCACCTTGCTTCACCTCGAGCCCGAGGTAGAATGACAGCAAGCCGAGGTCGCTCATCCGGAACATGCGCCTCATCTGCTCCTTGAACGCCTCGACGTCCTCCTAGCCTTGCTCCGGTGATGATTAGGTCGTCGACGTAGACACCAACCACCACTCGCTCCGCTGCGCCTCCTCTGGTGTACATCCCATGCTCGCTGGCGCACCTGGCGAAACCCAGCTCACGCAGGGTCTTGTCCAGCTTCGCGTTCCATGCACGGGGAGCCCGACGAAGCCCGTACAACGCCTTCTTGAGCTTCAGGACCTTGCCTTCATGTCCAGCAGCAGTGAAACCTGGCGGCTGCCGGACATATACTTCCTCCTGGAGCTCGCCATTCAGGAACGCTGACTTGACATCCATGTGATGCACAAGCCAGTTCCTCTGAGCGGCGACAGCAAGGAGCATGCGCACTGACTCCATCCGCGCGACCGGAGTGAACACTTCATCAAAGTCCACCCCGGCCTGCTGGATGTAGCCCTTGGCAACGAGCCGAGCCTTGAACTTCACGATCGCCCCTTGTTCATCGCGCTTCAGCTTGTACACCCATTTGAGGCCGATCGGGCGGTGTCCTGGTGGAAGATCAGCGAGTGTCCATGTCTTGTTCTCCTCAATCGATGACATCTCCTCCACCATGGCTTTCCGCCAGCGAGCATCACCACGCGCCTCCTCGAACGTGGCTGGCTCGTCGTCGCCGCTGGCGAGCAGAAGCTCCTCGTCGACCTGGAACTCCCGCTCCGCCAGGCCGGGAATGTGAGCCGGTCCGAGCACGTTGTCCAGTGCTCTGAACCGAAGCGGTGCGTCGTCGTGGTCATTGTCGAGGTTCGGGTTCGCGCTTGGTGGTGAGACGAACTCCGGTGACATCCCCACTGCTGCAGGCGCTTCAACCCCGCCGGGTGCGTGCACCGGTGTCGACGACGTCTCTAGCGCTGGAGGTGCGATGTCTGTGTCCGCCACAGACTGGGGTCCCGCCGCGCTTCCTTGCTGCTGCTGCGAGTCGATGGCGACGCCGTGTCGCACCGAGACCGTTGTGTACTCGACGTGGAACGGCTCGGTGTTCTCCCCGCTGGACTCGCTGACGCTGCTCCAGTCCCATGCCCTTCCTTCGTCGAACACCGCGTCGCGCGAGATGTCACGCGCTTGGTGTCCGGGTTGTAGAAGCGGTATGCCTTGGAGCCCGGCTCGTACCCGATGAACACCATCGGTGTACTCCGATCATCGAGCTTCTGCTGGTGTGTACCTGCCACCTTGACGTGCGCCACACATCCAAACACGCGGAGAAAGTGGACAGAGGGCTTGACGCCATACCAGACCTCGTACGGAGTCTTCCCCTCGACGCTCCTCGTCGGCGACCGGTTGAGGATGAAGACAGCCGTGGCGACTGCCTCCCCCCACAACCAGCCTGGCAGACCCTTTCCCTTGAGCATGCTTCGGGCCATCCCCAACACCGTCTGGTTTCTTCTCTCCACCACGCCGTTCTGTTGTGGAGTGTACGGCGCGGTGAGATGTCGCCCGATGCCCTGCTCGGCGCAGTAGTCGGCGAACGCGCGCGCCGTGAACTCGCCTCCGCGGTCGGTGCGGAGCGTGCCCATCTTTCGCCCCGCCTCAGCTTCAGTGCGCGCTTGCAACTGGATGATGGCGGATGCCGCCTGATCCTTCGACGCGAGCAGCACCAGCCACATGTACCTGCTCTTGTCGTCGACCACCAGGAGGAAGCTCCTCTTCCCTCCAGGTGTCTCCGGTGTGACCGCCCGCACAGGTCGGCGTGCACCAGCTCCAGTGGGTGCGTCGCGCTGTACCTGCTGGCCGCCGGGAACGGGCATCGACGCTGCTTGCCCGCCAGACAGCTGTCGCAGATCTGCTCGACGTGGTCAATCGGCGGCAGGCCTCGCACCATCCCACCTTTTGACAGCGCGACGCAGCCCCTGGAAGCCGAGGTGCCCGAACCTCGCATGCCATTGCCAGGCCACCTCGCTGCTCCGCACGGCGAGGCACACTGGCTGCGCGATCTCGATGTCGAGGAAGTAAAGCCTGTTCGCCGACCGCTTCACCATCATGAGCAGGCGATTCTGCTGATCCCAGATGCGCAGAACGCCCTTCTTGATGCGCACCTCGTGGTCGTCCTCGTCGAGCTGACCGAGGCTGACGATGTTCGCCGTCAGCCGGGGAATGTAGTAGACGCCGGACAGGAGGCGATGTTCCCCGTTCTTGCACTCGAACAGGATCGTACCGCGCCCCTCGATGGAGACCACGGACCCGTCGCCGAAGCGCACGGTCCCATGGATGCCGGTGTGGAGCTCGGTGAAGAAGTTGCGGTGGCCCGTCATGTGATTCGTCGCGCCGGTGTCAAGGATCCAGCGCGTGCTCCCACCATCGCCCTTCTCCCCGATCTGGACGAAGAGCTTGCTCTCGTGGAGGTGAATCTCCCGAGCGTCGCCTGCGCGGTTCGCCTCCGCGAGACTTGGTGTGGCCAGGGCCACTAGTGAGGCGGCGGTTGGCTCCGCCTCGGTGAACGACCACCGCGTGCTACCTCCCCCCTCGATCTCGACTGCGAGGTCGGCATCTTCCGCCGCCGGGGACGAATACACCGACGGACCCCGGATTGGGGACGGATTGGCGTCGAGGTTGACGACGCCCAGCATCAGGGCCCCCTCCATGGGCCCTTCCTCGACTTGGGCCGCATGGGCCGCCTCATCCTGCTTCTTCTTGCGGCACTCACGGGCCCAGTGGCCTTTGATGCCGCAGTACGCGCACTCGTCGCCGGCGAGTTTCTTCTTCTTCTTGCCGGCGCCGTCGGTAGGAGGTTTGGAGCCTCCTCTGCTTCCTCGGCCTTGAGACAAGTTCCCACCAGCTCGGCCTCGTCTCTGGTTGGACGTCAAACGCCCGCCTCCGGAGCCGCCACCAGTGCCGCCACCGCCAGACACCTGTAGCCGCGACATCACGCGCTCCACCAGCTCGTCCTCGGTGTGGTTGAGACGAGCTGCAGAGGAGCTGCCTCCAGACGATCCCGCACCCCCGCCGGGTTGGCACCGTCATCAGCCGCCTTGAGCCTCCCGGTCACCTCCTCGATCGAGAGAGTGTCGATGTCCAGGAGCGTCTCGATGGAGACGACGAGCTGCCTGTACCTCGGTCGCGCGACGCGGAGGTACTTGGCAACCACCTTGGGCTCCGGTTCCTCATCACCGAGAATCGCCAACCGCTGTACAAGATTGGACAAACGGAGGGCGAAATCTTCGACAGACTCACCATCACGGAACGTGATCTGCTCGTACTCCGCCCGGAGACTCTGCGCCGTGGCCTTCCGCACCCGCTCGTCCCCGATGCGCATCGTGCGGATGGCTTGCCACGCCTCCTTGGCCGTCGCCTTGGTCGCCAGGGTTGGCACCATCTCCTGGGGAACGCCGGAGCAGATCGCCTCCAGCGCGGACCTGTCGTCGTGGAAGTCGACGTCGTCCTGCTCGATCGCATCCCAGAGGTAGCGAGACTGCAGCTTGAGTTTCATCAGCAGTGACCAGGTGTCATAGTTCATCTTCGTGAGTTGGGGCCAGTTGCCTGAGCCGCTTGACTCACGAACGACGCGCTCGACGATGGCGTCGCGAGGATGTCGGCCGCGGCGACCGCCGCGCGTTCGCGAGCGGCTGCGCGACGGCGATCGGGAGCCCTCCTCCCCGTCCTTCTTCGGCGCCATCGCTACTCCTCAGAACCTCACACAAGCTCTGGTACCAATTGTTGTCGTCGCTTCGCCGGCGCCCGCCGCCGGAGACGTAGAAGACGACCTGCGGAATCCCAACACACTCAACGCGAAACACACAGGTGAACACGATGATTTGGTGCCGCTTGAAAAACCGCAGCTTTTTCTGACTCTATTCATGCGAATATAAAGAACCCGATTACAATGCCGTGACCGCAAATTCAGTCCACGACTCCACGCTCGCCACCACCTCCTATCGGTCCGCGCCATCCCACGAACGAGACGATGCCGGGCGTGCTACCACTACAAGCTAGAAAACAGCAATGTCGTTGCATGCTCTCATGCGCACGACTCCTACAAGCAAGCTCGCGCAGGAGCTATTAATGGAAAGCAAAAACACTCACTAACAATAGGAGCTGAACTGAGCTGGTTTGTCCAACAGAGTGCAACGGTGACAGTGGTTGTAGAAACATCCATCTGCCTAAACCTTGATGTCATTCATCAAGTGTCCAATGAACACAGATGACATGAAGACTAACACTACAAACATCAGTGAGAATCCTTCCTCTTGTTGAGATGATCTTGTTTCTTCGAGCAGTTCCTGAAACAAGAATGAGTTCAAATGTTCATGTATTTGTCAGTAAAATACTTGTAGCCAATCCTTACGAAAATTCAGGGCCATAGATTCCATGATATATATAAAAAAACTGCAGTAGTATTATGTTCGTCAGCGTTCAGAAGTTATCAGCTTGCGTCAGGAGATTGCTGTAATATGCAGACATGCATATAGTGTGGGCACCAGAATCAGTGCTAACTGTAAAGCACGTCATTTTCTGTTTGCATACCTGTACAGCATCTCACACAAACTTTTCTAGTTATGAGAAAAAACACATCAGAAACATGTGACCGCGTGGCAAATGCAAAATTGAAAATCAAAGATAATCCCTACAAGGAATAGTTAACTTTTGAATAGTTAACTTTGTTTGACAATAAACTTTAACACTTAAGTTTTCAAACTATTTATCTGAAGGGAAAACCTTACCATTTTGTATTGAAGCTTCAGTTTTTCTTCTACTGCAATTGCACATTCCTTCTTTTCAGCCATCCTTGATTTTACAGAGGTAACCTGAACAAAAACAAACACATACAGTAGAAAACAGAGTGAAATGATGAATTACATACCTTGGTATTTTTCTGTATTTATTTAAAGGCAGTAAACTATACTGGATTAATTGGCAATACAAGAATCTACGCTATTCAAGTGTACAGTTACTCATTAGGTATTTTGTTTTCATGATCATGCAGAAGAGAGACATTCAATAACATGAGCTGGCACTTAGGAATGTTCAGTCCGGTTAAGGAATGATTTTTTTTACAGTTTTTCTAAGGATCCTGCTGAGTTTTTCTTTTTTCCAGTTTTTCTTGCTGCAGTATCAGTCTAAGTGTTGGGTGTAGCTCAGCTGAGCCTTGTAAAACCTTTTTGTAAATAACTTTTTCTTTACCCTGCTAATATAATTCGGCAAAACTTTCGCCGTCCTTTTAAAAAAAATTCATGCAGAAAAGCTGTTTTAGTGTTTTTAGCGTTATTTTTTTAGGATCAGCTGCGTTACTTTGGGTGTATCATTTCATTAAGAAGAAGATAATAAATACAAGAGAGAGGCAGGAACACCCTCACTTCGGACACACACTGAGACCTTGTTTGGATACGCATATATTCATCTTAATCCACATGCGTTGAAGTGAATTGGGGTGAAATTGTGAGCCCCCCTAATGGGCCAAAGTTGACCTGGGCTGAACGGTCGAGTACTGTAGCGAAATTGTGATGCGAGCTACTGTAGCATCGCGGAACACTGTAGCTCAGGGAACATGAAGGGTGGCTAACCAACTTAAAAAGTCTCGGTCCTAGAAGGTGTTAACTCCGGTTCGAACCTGCTGTAGCATCGCGGAACACTGTAGCCTGGGGAACATGAAGGGGGTAACGAACCAACTTAAAAGTCTCGGTCTAGAAGGTGTTAACTCCGGTTCGAACCTTTTGCGCGAAGCGAGGACGAAAACGTAAGAGAGTTAATTAGCAGGTGTGGTTCATTTAACGTGTAGAGTGGATCTTAGCCGTCTTCCTGGGCTGGGGCGTTACAGAAATTGAACTAAATTCCATTCAATTACACTCTAACACATGTGGATTGAAGTGGATACGCATGTATCCAAACAAGGTCTAAGCTTATTTGTGGTGATTCTGCTCTTTCTCTCTCTCTAATAAGGACAGAACTAATAATTGTTCAAGGTAAGTGACCTAATTACGTATCACAGTTATATACTGACAAGTTATATCATGACAAGTGACGATGACACTGTACCAAAATTAGCAAGTACATCTGTGACACTGACAAATTCACAAATGACGGCTATACCGAGAAAAGAGTTACCTCAGCACATGATGGTTCTTCTCCAGATGCCCGTATATAAGTAGGTGCCTGCAAAAGAAACAAACTATAGCATTACGTAATCCATGTCAGGTTTTCCTTGTACAGTAGCATCAAACATCGGTAGCATTACATACAGCATTAAATACATGTGATCTTTTCTCTTCACAGCCTATGACCTCTGACCGAGGGGATGAATCCTCTTCCTCTTCTTCCTCTGGAACCGGTGATGGAGGACTAGCAGCAATGTACACCACGCGCAGCTTGAACTCCTCAATCACCCTACCTGGTGCTTTAACGAACTGCAAATCACAACATTAATATTTGACGCCGGCAATAAATGGTTACACAATACATGAACTGAACTCCCACAAGAACGTACCAGTTCGGGCAGGAAGTCTTTCATCGTCGCCCCATCCCTCACAACAACACTTTGCACAAGGAACTTGTCCTTGCAGTGGTGATCAGATAGCATCTCCATTGGAGCCTGCATAGTAACTGCGCCAATGCCAACCCTTCATTGCCTATTTGAATCGGATTAACCAATCAATCGACTAATCAAGCACATGCTGCTCAGACAGCACCTGTGAGATTGCACGAGCTCCGGGGAAGAAGTATACCGCAGGCGTGCCTGACAGAGTATTTCCTTGGGTTCGTTGTTTTCACCTACGTATTTGGGCATCGAAGCCAATCATTCTCCCTCCCAATGCACCGCAGCAGCATGAGCTCGGAACAGCAACAAGGACAGAAAATTTCACCTTGAAGGCCACGTACTGGTCGGTCCTGTTCGTCAGCTCCATGCAGCAAGACCGCTGCTTCTTGACCTCATCTTCTCATGGCAACAAAAGCAAGAAGACTATAATCAAGCCAAGACCCAAGAAAAAGCATCACCAAGCAACTAGTTATGAAGAACTTACAGGGAATCTTGAGCTCGGAGGGATAGACCCGAAGCAGAGTACTGCTCATGGCGCTGAACGAAGAACAGGAGAGTAAGAGTGGACGACAAAAAGATTCGATCTTCTCCTCCCTTTTCTCGTCAAGAACCAGTGAGCTGGAGAGCGCGAGAAGTGGTTGGTGGTGTGGTTCCTGGTTCTGGAAGCAAAGTACACGATGACACACGAACAAAGTGCAGTGATGACCTGGATTTAGTGGAGGCGCAGCTCAGCTGCTGGAACAGTGAAATAATAGGATACGGATTAGGACTTTGGAGTGGGGTTTAGGAACTAGTTTATGAATATTTCTAGCTGGTCCTCCATTAGTCTTGTTAGACTGGCTTCGATCAGCGGGATGTGACCTTTTCGTTTTGGGGTTCTTCTTTCACGAATTATTTGTGATATGGTCCTGTTTGTTGGTGTTGGTCTGGTTTGAGCTGGCTGGTGCTGGTTTTTTTTGAGAGGAAAATACTGTTGGATGACTGGTTTGAGCTGGCTGAAACCAACAAACGAATAGGCTGAGCAATGAAGTTTGCTCTGTAGCTGCAGCATGACGTTTAATAGCCTATTTTCTTGGTTTCTTCTCCTTTCTTTAATAAAGTATATCAGGCAGTGGTTGTGCAATCAAGTACTGGTGAGATATCAGCCTCGAAGCTTTTGCATCAAATCCAACTTCTTTCAGAGGAATGCTTTGATCCAGACTGGGCCAACTAAAAGTTGTGCCTTGTTAATATAAATGAATTTTACCCATTGCCATGCAAATGAGGCTTTTGCTAAAAAGAGATGGGTCTTTCGACTTGAAGATGAACAAAAGGATCTCAAGTTCATCAGATGTGTATCACATCTGGAGCTCAAAATGGAGAGTTGCGCACGACGAACCTGCTCTAGAAGAAACTCCCATCGCTCGTGAAGTCGCAGCTTTGCACAAACAGGATGTTGCCGTTGCCGACCACTTGCCGTGTCCGCGGCAGCATCGGCACGACGGCACGCCGTTAGCATCCTGACAGGGAGTGTACTGAGAGCCAAGGCACCGCGGAGACGCCGAGGGCCATGAGCGGGCGGGGACACCGGCCAGGAGGGAGAGGAACCCTTTCGAGGCGGCCGCCGGGGCCGGCGACTCGGAGCCGGTGACAGTAGTGGGATCGCATCCGCGCATCTGGCGGCACCGCCGGCACATCGTGTGGTGGCGTGCGGTATCTCTGCCGGGCCTCGGCGGACCATTGGATTTGGTTCTGAGATGGGCCTGCGAACCCAAAAACTCACACTGTGAAAGAGTCACTGTCCCGCCGATCACACAGCCCATCTGGAAAAACGAAACCCCAGCTTGACCTGGCCCAGCCTCTCAGCCGAAGCCAACGCACTCCAGCTTCGTTCATGCCGGCCTGGTTGTGCATTCGCTGTGACAAACAGGCCCAACCCAGCCGCCTAATCATTAGTCCCATCGTGATTACGCAAATTCAACTGGTGCACGTGACTCACAATTATTAGCGGAAGCGCTCAGGCACAACCACCGTTTATACACGGTCAGGCAGAGGCAGGTGGTGGTGAGCTGCTGACGGCTCACGCTCAGGCTGTGCTCTGCTGTGCTGTGCTGTGCTGTGCTGCTCAACCCGGTTAGGTCAGCTGGCCACTTGCCGTCTGGCCGTCTGATCGCTGGAAGCACCGCGTCTTCATCTACTGCTCTTCCACTTCCAACCCTTTTCCCATTCCCGTTGATGCGAGCGAGACAGATCAAAAGGAGATCGAGGGGAAAGAAAAAAAATATCCACCGCTCCCGAGGCACGGCGGCGGCGAGCGTGAGACACCTCCGGCGGCTGCACAGAGCCGTCGAGGCGTCGACCGAGCTCCGGCCGCCCGCGGATGCTCCGGGGCCCGCGCGGTAAGGCCCAGGGGTCCACGCTCGTACCCAGATCTCAGGGTGGTTGTGCGAAGTGGGGTTCGTTCGGTCCCTGCCTCCCTGGTGGGGATGGGGTGGTCCGCGGGGCTGTGGTGGCTCGTGGCGGCGGTGTGGGTGGTGGCGGTGGCGGCGGCGGCGGAGGGTGAGGTCGCGGTCGGGGCGGCGCCGAGGCGGCACGCGTACGCGTCGATGATGTACATGGGCACGCCGCGGGACTACGAGTTCTACGTCGCCACGCGCGTCATGATGCGCTCCCTGCGCCGGCTCAGCGCCGACGCCGACCGCGTCGTGATCGCGTCCCTCGACGTCCCGCCGCTCTGGGTCCAGGCGCTGTAAGCTCTCCCACCTCCTCCCGTCTTTCTCTTTGGCTCTTTGCGCGCGCGCCACTCGGCTCCCGGGTGGTGGCGCTTAATTGGATCGCTGGGCGTTCGGTAACGGACGCCCATGCCGTTGTTTGATGCGTACTTTGCTGCGTTCCGATCAGTTTGGGATGCGTTTTGAAGTGCTCGGGGTTTGACTTGATGCCTGCTTAGTTCCTTGAAGCAAAATTCGTGGTTATTTTCATGTTCGGTTGGGTCAAGTTCACGCCCGCGCCGAACTTTGGTCCTTTTGGTTGTCTGGCTCAACACCTTCGACGCTAATTAATGGTTATTTTGATAGGTTGATGTTCCATGGTATGATTATAAATTGTCTCCTTCCTTGTTCAGTTCAAGTTTCATTGTATTCGTTACATTTCCTTAAACATGAGGACCATCAGGTGTTCCAGCCGTATTTGAAGTGATTCCTCTCTTTCATGGATCAAACCGTCCTGCACTTCTGTCCCGTACTATCTGAACTTCTCGGACTAGCCGATACTTGTTACTGTTCCATCTTGTTACTTTGGGTGAAAGTGCGAGATGACTGTGTTCGTGCTCTGGCTGCATCTTTGGAAATTACCTCAGAATTCAACGGTCATGAAGTTGACTTTAGTAGGTCCCTTTCATGTTGACTTTAGTAGTAAGGCCATGAAGTTTGTTGACGTGGGTACATGTGAGATATTTGTTGATAAGCTACGAGATTCGAGCTGGCGAATTTCCAGCCCTGGCCTATGAATTTCATCAATTGCAACTGTGTTATTATATAAAAAATGATGTCTGCAATGGGCTACTGACTTGCCTATCTACGATGTTTACTGAACTGTTGTAATATTTGACCTGCTGATTTCCACTGCCTCACGTTCTAGTAAGTAGTTAGCTGATGGGGACTGTGACTATAACAATATATCAGTTGGACTAGTATGTAAAATATGTCGTATTGTCCAAACAGCCACATGTGGATGTCGACTGGAGCTTATTTTTCATTGCTAAATATTTGTCTGTGCTGTGACTTATGACCCTGTCAGTTATTTTCAACAACTTATACCTTGAGTGGATGGTGTTTTTTTTTTGGAATTTGTCTTTTTTTTAGGGTATCCTAGTGGCCCAACGTTTCTCTTTGTTTGTTAGAATATTAAATCTTCAACTGTTTCTATATTGAGAAATTTTTTAATTGTGAACTTTAAAGGACAGAAACTTAATTGCACTTTGCACATAATAAATGGATAAAACTTTACTGCTTTTAGCCTTTTATGTATTACAAAACATGAACACAAGTTGAGGTTATTATACCTTGGTGTGGGCATCAAGAAATAGCACTATAGCAGTACTGTATTTTATTGTTGGCACTAAAAAAGTGCTGCTAATCATGAATGGACAATAGTGGTTGTATAGAGTGAAACAACATATTAGGTAAAGGACATCAATATTTGTCTCTGTGAAGTAGCAAATATGAATGTTGATGCCATGCCATCATGCCAATTTATCCTGTGACGCTGTTCTTTGAAATCATGCATGGAGCATCCCTTTTTATTTTCTGATGTGATGCTTTTTTGCTAGGTTTTGCTCAATTTATACTCCTATTTTAAGTATTGAACATACACTTACAGTGGCAATATATATTTAGGATGAAATGTTTTTCTTTTCCTGCAGAATTGGACTTGTTTACTTCAGTAACATGTTCTTTCTTACAGTTTTTGCCTCTGTTAGTAATATATATGCATTGAAACTCTTTCTTTAGGAAAGATGATGGCGTAAAGGTGGTCTCTGTGGAGAATTTGAAAAATCCTTACGAGAAACAAGAAAATTTCAACATGCGATTCAAGTTGACTCTAAACAAGCTGTATGCATGGAGCTTGGTTTCGTATGACCGAGTTGTTATGCTTGACTCTGACAACATTTTCCTCCAAAATACTGATGAGTTATTTCAGTGTGGTCAGTTCTGTGCTGTCTTCATCAATCCCTGTATCTTCCATACAGGTCTCTTTGTGCTTCAGGTAGGGCTACTTACTTTGCAGGCATTCCATTTTCTGCAAAAAAATTAACTCTTGCAGATCAGAAAATATGTTATTTCTGTCTTTGAAATGGTTATAAACAAACCTACATTGCATCTAGCGACATTCTTTGATGTCCATTACTTCAGCATAGTGGAAATCTAACTGCCTTTTGATAATTGATTCTTTGTTATTCCTTGTTTAGTAATGAAAAGTTTATCTTGTTCACTACTTCAGGAATTCATTGCATTTTTTACCTGAAATCTATTAGCCTTCCTCTGGAATTTGGTGTAATTTTCGTTTTTACCTTTCAACTCGATGTCCTCAGCAACACATTTTTTTTTGTTTCCAGCCCTCAATGGACGTTTTTAAGAACATGCTACATGAGGTAGCGGTTGGACGTGAAAACCCAGATGGTGCAGACCAAGGCTTCCTTGCTAGTTATTTTCCAGACTTGCTTGATCAGCCAATGTTCCATCCACCAGATAATGGTACAAAACTTCAGGGTACTTATCGCCTCCCTCTAGGCTACCAGATGGATGCGTCTTACTATTGTGAGTGCTTGTAGCAGTATGATTATTCCACATTCTCAAACATTCTGTTGGTCCAGACTAACAAACTAGACTTTCAGATCTGAAGCTTCGCTGGAGTATTCCATGTGGACCGAACAGTGTGATTACATTTCCGAGTGCTCCATGGTTTAAGCCATGGTACTGGTGGTCTTGGCCAGTTTTACCTTTGGGGCTCTCTTGGCATGAACAACGTCGTGAAACCCTAGGGTGAGTGGTCTATTTTACTTTCCATTTTGTGATGCTTATTTCTATTGCATGCTCAAATTCCAACCTTAGTGACATCCTACAGAACCAGATAAGGATGTCCACATTCAGCATGTTCGCTTATTGGTTTCAGCCAGGGCTTATCAGCCAGCCAACAGTTTTTTCCTCACAACAAACCAGCATCAGCTGGGCTTATCAGCCCAGAAACCAACCAGCGAACAGGCTCATTAATATATCCTGACGTGGTTGGTAACATGTCACGAAGAAATGCATTCTGTCTTCTTTACAATAAAGATGCATAGGGGGGAAAAGCATTACCATGCCTTTTTGTCTTTTAAGGATAAAGTTACATAAGGCAAGAAGTTGTCATGTTTCTTTTTTTATCGTTGGTAATATAAAGTTCCACAAAGTAGGGGATTCTATTAATTAAGGGTATAATATTACTCCTAAATTGGGGGTTAGGGGGAGGTCATACTGGTTAAAGATGTTGTTTTTTAGTTTCTGAAATGAAGAACATATGTTTCGTTATAATATGTTAATGTTATGCAAAACAGGTATTCATCGGAGATACCAGTAGTATTAATTCAGGCTGTACTGTACATTGGAGTCATAGCAGTGACCCGACTGGCGCGGCCTAGCTTGTCCAAGATGTGCTACAACCGAAGAATGGAGAAAAACACTATGTTCTTGCTCTCCCTTCTGAGAGTAGTGGCAGCTTGGTCCATACTTGCTGCCTACACCATACCCTTCTTCATCATCCCAAGGACCGTGCATCCACTGCTTGGCTGGCCTCTCTACTTGCTCGGTTCTTTCTCTCTTTCTTCCATTGTGATCAACTTTTTCCTCCTCCACCCGATGACCGTCCTCACAACATGGTTTGGATTCATCGGCGCGCTATTGGTGATGGCCTTCCCTTGGTATCTAAATGGTGTTGTCAGGGCACTGGCAGTGTTTGCGTATGCGTTCTGCTGCGCGCCCTTGATCTGGACATCTTTGGTCAAGACAATGAGCTCCTTGCATGTCCTGATGGAGAGGGATGCATTCAGGCTCGGAGAACTTAACCAGAACGCCGAGTTCACAAAGCTATACTGAGGTGGGCAACGGCAGATACATATGATTGATTGATCACTTCTGTTGCCTCAGTTTGAACAGCTAATCTCCATTCACGTTGAGAAATTCTGATGGCCAATTCAATTGTACAAGTAAATCTGCAGCCTGGGAGCAAGAGTTGTTGTACCTTCTGAACTATCTGGAAACCTCTAGAACCCATGATTGTTGTTGTCTTAGACATGTAGGTGACATATACAGGGGAAAGGAGGGGTAAAATTGGTGCGGAACTGAAGAGGAACGGACCGGGGTCAGTTTTTAGTTATTTTGATTTATTGTTCCTCTGAAAAGCCAAGGCATTTTTGGCTTTGTTTGTAATTGATATGATCAGTTCCATCACCAATGAAGAAAAGGGTTGAAAGTTCAAACAGTGCGCTGTTAGAAACAGTACTTTGTTTTTACCGTGGTATAACTGAACAATTTCTTTTTTATAATTGCTTCTCCTGAATGTTGGGGTTCAATAGACGTGTCGTTGCAGTGTGAACCTTCCATTTACCAAGAGATACGGACACACTCACGGTCACGGGGAGGCGAGGCGACGCGGCAAACTACTACTACTACAGTACAAAGAACAGAAAAGCACGCGTTTCGCGAGCATGGCTGCACTGGACTCATCACCCGTACTGGTGTGTCACACAGTCACGTCATCCTGATGAGAACGTGTTGGATTGGATGCGACAAATGTTCTGTCATCTCTTGTCAACAAGTTAATTCAGTGCCACTGCTACACTAAATGCTACTCCCTCCAATTCTAAAAATCAGAATAATACTAAGAGATGTTTGGTTCTTTAGTCGCTCCTAAAATTTATGTAACATCGAATATTTAGATACTAATAAGAATCATTAAATATAGATTAATTACAAAACCAATTATATAAATGGAGGCTAATTTTCGAGACGATTTTTTTAAGCCTAATTAATCTATCATTAAGGCATGTTTACTGTAGCACCACGTTGTCAAATCATGGACTAATTAGGCTTAAAAGATTCGTCTCATAAATTAGTTGCAAGTTATGCAATTAGTTTTGTAATTAGTCTATATTTAATACTCCATGCATGTGTCCAAACATTCGATCCAAACATTCGATGTGACAGGAATTTTAGGAGTCATTGCGGGAACCAAACAGCCCCTAAGTTAAATGATTTGAAGCTTAACCAAAATTTTATAAAAACATATTAATCTATACTTAATAATAAAGAGATAAAATTTCTCTCCACCGATTTTTTTTTGTCCAGGCATCCCTTACCTTACTTTTGTGAACGTGAAAAACCACCTATAGCCCTTCTCTTTATACAACTAGGAATCATAATCCAATTAAAGCTCTCTAATTTTGGGTGAATAGGAATCTTAATCCAAATGCAAAAATATAAGAATAGAAATCTAATAAAGAGGAAATAATGGTAGAATTTTTTTGTGTAGTTCTTTTCTGTTCTGTTTTCACTTTTTTCTGGTTTGTCCATTTTTACTTGCTCTGAGTACGTGTTGCTATACGTTCATTTGGACGCTTTTTACTTGGCTCCAAATATGTTCTGATTTTTTTCCGTGGCTATTTTCTAGAGTACATTCTAATATTTGTCATGACTGAGTATGTTTTTGACACTAGCTCGACTTCTTTGATTTTGTTTTCATTGTTTTCTTCACTTGGTTTTTTCGTGTTCTAAAAAATATAATAAGAGTAAAAACAAACAATAAATAAGAGATCACATCCATTTTTATCTTTGACTCCTTAAGAAACAAAGATTTTTACCACTAAGTTAATTTATTTTTTGACTCGAACTCATGACCCGTGCTATAACTCACTATGTATTGGATTCCGTTACAACGCACGGGCATATTTGCTAGTATTTATATTTATCATATCGAATAAATATTAAATAAATAGAACAATATGATTATATAATATATATTTAGAGCCGTTTATATTTTCTATAAACTTAATTAACTTATGATAGTTTAACTTTGACCGACGTAGAATTATATGTTTTTTAGATGGAGATAATACTACTACTAGCTTAGGCCAAACTCTGTGGGAGTGTTGTGAGTTTTAGGTTTTCACATAAATATTTTTTTATGACATAGACAATGTTTTAGGAAGAAAGAAGAATTTGAGTTTTATGTAGATAAAACTCTCTTGGCTTGGTTTTCAACTCTAGATGAGTCATGGATTAAATGTCGATGAAACAGTAGAGAATTATACATCGAAGGTGGTTGTTTCATCTATGCTTTATCGCATTCTGTCTGATTTGGCATTCTTGAAAACAATGTTATGATTATGAATGGTCTTATAGCAGTATTGACAGTCAGCGGTCTTAGAACATAATGGATTGGTATAGCATTGGACGATGTTCCGCACTACCATATCATGCGCGCACATGTAAGTATGTAACCATAATGCTGCATCTGCCGATCAATAATTGCAATACTGCATGTGACTTTTGGACTTTCCAGCATAATAGTAGCAACATACCTTTATCATATTAACACATATGACTTTGTTCATAGAATACCTTTACCAAATTGAACATTTTTTCTAAAATATTAATATAGGAGACATAAACAAATTTGAAATAATAGGGCAAATGTCACTACGTGAAAAACAGTTTGTAACAACGGAGTTTTTTTAGGGGCAACTGGCATTGGAGCAGCCCCTACAGTGGCGTGTTCGGGCTCCAGCACAGCAGCCGCCCCTACAAAAGGCAAGGTAGGGGCGGCTGGTAATACGAGCCGCCCTTACAAATGTCATGCCCGTGGACTTCGCAACTCAGGTCCGCATCTGCCTCCACCCCCTCGGTCTGTCCCTCGCCCCCTCTCCTCTCTTTCTCCAACGCCACCGCCCCATCCATCTCCCGTCGCCTCCCCCTCCTCTCTTCCTCCGACGACGCCACCGCCCCTTCCTCTTCCACCGTTGCGGCCACCATCCTCTCCTCTACAGGCGCGGCCACCACCCCTCCACCGATGCGGTCACAACCCCCTCCTTTCCCCTCTTAGATCTAGATCTAGAAGGGTGGGGAGGTGGGGCTTCCACTGCGTCATGGCGTCCTCCCCGGATCCGTTGCTCACGTCGTCTCCGCTCATGTCATGCCCGTCGTCGAGCTGCCCACGTCGGAAGGCGCGGGTACCTCATCTTCCTCCACCACCGCTGGTGCCGGAGGCACTCACAAGTCGTCGCCGGGAGCCACGGCGAGGGCGCAAGGGGTGGTGCGGGCTACGATGAGGATTAAAAGAAGGTCCTCCGCGCGTCGCTGCTTCACGTGGTTGCGATTTGAACCCACTCCTCCAACTTGCAGTTAGATCCATGTCCACTCAGGCGGGATCGATGTCCACTCTGCGGCTAGATCCATGTCCACTCAGGCAGGAGCGGCTAGATCCATGGCCGCTCAGGTCTCCTTTTGCTGCCGCGGTGGGGGACTCTGCAAGGTTTTTTTTACCTTACTGGTCGATTTTTGTACTAGCTCTGATATATGGTGCATCTGTTGATATTTTCCTATATATAGGATACCCTGTCCGTTGATTCAGGAGAAGGGATCCTATCAGGCACTGCCAATTCAAAGCACGGATAATTTCTTCTGCATGTTAGGCTATTCTATTTACATATAATGTAAAATTCATCTGCATTAGTGAAAGCAGTACACTGGTTTTAGATGAAACATGCCTAAGATAACTCCATAAGAAGTACTATTTAACATGTATTCCTCTTCCTGTTTGATTCTTTTACAATTCACTACTCTTGGATCCGCATTGCAATATTAAGAAGTCCATGTATCGTCTACCCCTGTGTTGGCAGCTATTTCCAAAAGATAGCTTTTATTCATGAGGCTGCCATAATAATGTGCTCATTTTCGTGAGGAAAGACATGTTGGTTCTGTTGACATGAATTAGTTAGTACCAAGGAATGTGTTTTTAATCCACCATTTAAAATTCTTAGCGCCCTGTAATCACTAATTGGGAATCTAGAAAAAAAAGAAAGACAATTATTATGGTTATACTTAAAATTTATCACATTAATTAAGTCTCTGTTATCTCTTATAAAACCATGAGAAGAGATGCATGTTGTATACACCATGGATTTTTAATACAACCACATATGAAAAATTGTATAGTATACTAATATAAATGGGGGCATGTGAGTTTTAAGTCAACCAGTCGACTAGTGGTTCTGTTATTAGATTTTTTTCACTGACTTTGATGTGTGACCAACAATGATGTGGATGATGATTTGTAAAAAAAATATGGGCATGTAGGTCCTAAGTGAACCAGTCGACACTAATTAGAGAGGTCTGTGCACATATTTGAGTCTGAGTTAATTCTTTTTAATGTCCTAGGGTTGTGTTTGTTTGAGTGTAAATGTTGATGGCAATAGCTGCATGATTTCTGCTGGTGTTTTGAATGGTTTACTGAACAATATTTAGAATATCCAAGGTGACACTTTCTTGATTTTCTCTTAGGCTGCAAATTCTTTGTCTTAATTTGACAGCACTTTTATGGAGCTTTTGTGATTGATAATTCATTTCTTAATTTATGTGCCTATGAATCTATCATTACAATCTAGCCTTGTCTTATTAGCATTTTGATTTAGATTTAAAACAACTAATTATCAAGGAACCTATAGTGAATTTGACTTGCCTAACTATTTCTGTTTTCTGGATACGGGCATTAGATTACTGCCATTTACAAGGTATTATGCACCAAGATGTGAAGCCCCACAATGTTATGATAGATCATGAGCTTCGGAAACTCCGTCTGATAGATTGGGGCCTTGCTGAATTCTTGTGAATTGGACCTGTAATGGTAGTTTATATAATGCTCTTGTGTTTATGGTCAGATTTGAATTATATATGTTCTAGTCAGATTTGAATTATATATATATATATATATATTCTAGTCGAATTTGAATTGTAAATTCGAAATTTTTTTGACGGAAAAATATACTGTAGGGGCGGTTATAGACTGAACCGCCCCTACAAATAGATATTATAGGGGCGGC